TAAGCAAAGGACCGAGTATTTTCTATTCCGGGCAATTTTAATACAAATTTAAATAAAGTTAAATATCCTGTTTATTTTTTTGTTTAATGAAATATGATTTCAGAAAACAGAGGACGTCTATCGATTTGCTATTTAGCCGTGTCCTTAGTTTATTCACAAATTCCCCCGAAATAGAAAATACCCTCTCACTTGCGACCGAACTAGGCTTAATCGTTTTTAAAGCCTGATATAATAATTCTAAATTTTTTGTCCTTTTATTTGTGGCTTCCAGGGCCAAAAACTCTTTTCTTAGAGTTTGAGTCAGTCACTTCTTCCGGTTCCTTTAAACTTTAAATAAAAACTATCAAACTGATATAAAATCTAAATTAATTCATCCAATAGACAAAACACACCGATTCCAAGAACCAAACCACTTACAACAGTGTTTTCATCGGTCTGGTACATTTGGCTACATTTGTCATTTTCAAATTTTTTTTAAGTGTTATTCATACATTGAAAACCGATATTTTCTACTAAAAGACCGGTTTTCGAATTTCATAATTTTCTCCAAAAAACCGGTTTTTAAAAACCGACAAACCCTAGTATGTACCTAATAATCTTCCAGATTTAATTTTAAAAAATTTAAAGGTACAGAAGGTTTTTCTTTAAGATATCATTTTAGATGGAATAGAATTATCTTCAAATTTTATCTAACTATGATCTTTTAATATAAGGAAAAGCTGTTCGGCTTAAAAACTTTAGTTAGGTCTACCACTTACCATCCTATACAGCAGGGGTGGCCAAGCTTCTTGATAGTCTGAGCCATTTTTCAAAATTTGAAATTTTTCATGAGCCACAATTAAATACGTATTTAAAAGGCATGCAGGGAAGGTATCGAAAAAAAAATTCTTTACAGAAATTATATTTATTGAAAACATAAATAAAAGTACAAAATATGTGTATTGAATTTAAATATTAAAAATTAAACACATTTATTTTACTTCTCTTGATAATTCTTTAAAATTTGGTGAATAATTGGTGACAGCACTTCTCAGTAATTCTCTTAGATGCTGGTTAGTTAATATTGTTCGGTGTTTGGATTTGACAAATTTTAAAGTAGAATAAAATGATTCACATAAGTACGTTGTTCTTAATATTGAAATAATTCGACGAGCAGCCTTTTTTAATTCAGGATATTTCGATTCTGGTACAAATTTCCAAAACTCAGTAATCGGCGTCGACTTATATTTTAATTGTAGCGCTTGATCTTCTTGCATCTCTATTGATTCTAATTCTCCAGATGCTTTTTGGGTCATAATTATATTGGAAATGAAAAACTCACCTTGAATTAATGTTAATTTCAAATGGATTCCGAAAAAAATCAAGAGACTAGTTAAAATATTTCAAGTCTTGAAATCTATTTTGGAATTTCGTCAATATTCCTTATAGCTTTTTTATATAGTCGTTGTTTTTCTTGTTTAATATTGGAACAAAATTTTTTAATTCCAGGAAAATGACAAAATGTTTTATTTTTAATATCCTTTTGAAAATGTTGTAACTTGAACGGAAATGAAACTTGTTACAACGTTGCACTTAGTCTTTCATATTTGTTGTTAGTAATTTAAAAGACATTTTGAAACACATACGGAACGATAATAATTTTTTAAAATATAATAACACAAAACACAAAAATGAACAGAGAGCTCGGGTAAATTTATCGAGAACCACAAATAATCCTTCAAAGAGCCGCAGGTTGCCCCCCTGCTATACAGCATACATTAAAAAAAGAACCAAAAAGCGCGATTAGATGATATTTTAATTCGACTAATTACACTATTGAAAGAAAAAGAAATTCCAAGAACAAAAACAACACTTTATTATGTTTCACGATCAGTACGAATTAATTGTGAATGTGAATTAATTAATAAAATTGCTTTAATGTCCGAATTTGAAGTTATAAAACTCTTTCAATTATTTTAACATTCAATAAAATTTTTAGATATTAACTTGTGCTTGGCAAGCTGAAAATGCACTTCAACTTTGGGATTATGGCTCAGGAAACCTCATTACAACTTTGGAACCGGACATTTTTAATACAAAGGTACCATAAGTTTTATATTTCTGACATCTATTAAGATTTTAAAAACATATTAAATTCTATGCATAAAACTTCCTTTTTCACTGCAGTACTATTTTACTATCAGACAAAGAGGAAAAATAAAGAAAAAAAACTAGTTTTTTTTCCTGTAAAACATTCTGAACAACTACTCTTCTTATTAAATGTTTGCTATCTACAAAAAAAGCTTCACACATTGTTCCTATATTTAAGCTCGAAATGCAATGATAATGTGATCACTGTGGGCTAGAAAGAAGAAAGTTTCATAATGTTGCTTGATTTTATACAAAATTAGCCAAAAAGATAGACCATTTGTTTTTTATTCCTCTGTAACACAAACTTACCATTCTTATTGCAGTTGTATTGTGGAAGATTTATAGGGAAAGACTATTTGATCTGCGGTGGATGTCAAAGTAATTTATTAAGACTTGTGGATAAGACAACTTCCTTTGTAAGTTATTAGATAAGTATAAGCGAAAATTTACATAGTTCACGGTATTAAAAAGCTGTTCACATTATGCAGGTTTTCTAAAATATCGATTTTCCCATTAGCAAGTTTTAGTTTAATGATTTAATCATTTCAAAAATACTGTCTTTTTGTTTAGAATTTGGATAACTTAACTGTTTTTTTTTTTTTTATAATTACAAAAGACATCTTCTCCATTTTCAATTTTATACGAAAATAAAACCATACAAAAAAACAGTTTATTTGTCGACAAAAAGAAAGCACTCATTATTTGTCCACATTAAATTGAATTAAATGCCTTAAAAATATAGTTTCAAAGCTATGTAATGCTGATAAAATTTATGTTTTAGTCTGCTGCAAACGTCAAGAATTTACCAAAAGGAGTCTACTCCATTGACATAGGTCAACCCAAACTGAGTAAGGATAAGGCTAAGGAATACATGACCAAGGCAAACGAGATTGCTACACTGCCTCGTATAGCATTCTCAGCGGGAACAAAAATATTTCAAATAGACTTCTCTGCTAAATAAATTATAGCATTTATTTCATCCATGTCTATGCATAAAAGTTTTTAAGCAGTACAGTTTTCTCTTCAATATTATATTACAAACTAAAGTACAAAAATTTCTATCACACATTCATATATATAGAATTAATCTTTTATTTGTGGCTTCCAGGGCCAAAAACTCTTTTCTTAGAGTTTGNAATAATTAATAATAATAGTTATAACAGTAACGGGTCTGGAGCAGAAGTACAATGTGGAAATCAAGTCACCTTTATACTATAGTCTTGACTGAAATTGAAGTAAAGAAGTTCCATACAAAAATATTTTTAAAACTGATTATCCCTTCTGACGATTTAATCTAGAAAACAAAATGTATTTCTTAAGACAACGTACATTCATATGAAACAACCTATTATGGTAGTAAGTTTTAAACATCTGTCTGGTGGTTCTTATCAAAAATATACTATTGAAAAGTGTTTAAGAATCCCAGAAACTTCATTTAACAATATATTTCCATTTGATATAAAAAGGAAAAAAAGTATAAAATGTTTTTTTTTGCAGTATTCCCTGGTTTTATAATAGTAACATTACTCAAGCGGAGACGATTAAAAAAATCAAAATTCGTTCCTGAACATCTACTAAACTACTTATCGCTATCAACTTTTAAAAGCAAACAAAACGTATTTACAAAACATTAACGCTTTTCCCCAAATTTCAGTAACACTGCTTTTATAAAAACTTATCCACCTTGTACTTTCCGACTCCCTAAAAGTCGAAGATCGCTACGGTAAGTAGAAGAGAAAAGGATTCACCCAGATCTTCTGTTGTTTGTCATGAAAATTAGTTTTTGTTTTTGTTGCAAAATCAAGTACTCCATTCGTAAATTAATTCATTCTAGACTAGATTTCTTACAGCCCACTAATTCAAGCGCTCGTCTCCTTCTTAGAAGAAAAATAAGAGCAAAAATAAGCAGCGGGAGGTTTTCTTTCAGTTATTCTTTTAATCGTCCTCTGATTTTGGCAGTATAATTTACTTTTGATTTTTACTTTAGCAAATCTACCAAAAAAGTGAGCATTTTTCACTTTCATACTGGTTATATCGAGCATACTCTTAATCTATATAAATATCTAATTAAGAGAGTTATAAGTATATTTCTCAGTAAATTAGAAATTTTAAACATTCCAAAAATCTTTACAGCAAATTGTAAGTAGAAAAGTGAACTACAGCCAGATATTTTCTATAAAGGTAGTGAGAGTTGTTGAGAACATTTATAGAACATACTTTATGTCATACAAATTGAAACAGATTTAGAACACTTTTGTGGAAGTGGTATCTTATTTATTATTATTACATTTTAAGTACAACTTTGCTGTTTACCTGTTACTTCCGAAAAAGAAAAATGCAAATCCTAAATATGTTTCAATAGTTATAATATTTAAAAATTGGAGTTCGAAAAGAAAATCCACTTTTTAAACGATTTATTTTTATCAAAAGTACCTTATAAGGTGAGAATATCAAACTCATACATGGTATGCTATGCTAATTCTGTCTGTCTGAGACAGTTTCATGTAATTAAATAAATTTAAAAGGTTACAAATCGAGGCTTATAAATTAAAACATCGTCGTAAATTCAAGTAAATAACAAAAAATAAAATATAATTGCAACAAATATGTCTTTGGAAAAAATAATATATACTCGATATAACCTTGAGAAATATTACAATTTGGCAATAATTACAAATAGATCGTCGGTCGATGGTCCAAGACATACTACTATTCCGCACCGCTACCGTCAAAATGAAAAGTAAGTACACTCTTCAGTTCGCACGTTGTTATTTCCAGTAAAGGTCATCACAGAGCCCGACAATATAAAGTTGAGCCGATTACACGCGTCCAGTTCTTAAAAACTACTACATTGTATTATACACGGGATTCGAGTGCCTTGGTTTGATGTGCAACCTCGCCAAAGGGTGACTCTTCCCAAACTGCTGCTGCTTTTTTGCTGCTTTTGCGATAACGGTGGCCATGACAACGTTAGGAGTTGGATTTCTAACAACCGGGGCAATGGGAGGTCTTTTGAATTCGCCAGTAGTTCTGCTTTTGTCACCGTAGCAGGAAATAATAGGGTTGTGAAGTGATTTATCGGCAGACACCTCGATACAAGAATAGCGGCCCCCACTTTTGCCATGTTGCTGCTTGTTTTGATGTTTGGTACGCAAATTTACTTGAGAATTTTCCCGAGATGTCAATTCGAATTTTCCAATTAACTTTTTTAAACTCAAGTCTTCACCGCCAGGGTCAGAGCCCTCGTTGTCTAATTGATCGATTTCTACGTGGATACTGACCGGCGACGTAGGTGCACTGCTAGTATTATTAGACTTCAGATCATCTACGTTCAAAGTAGTTTTTGATTCGAATTCTTTTTTTAAGCTTCTCACGATTCCTGACTTACTAGGATTATTAGGGGCATTATCCAAAGCCATGTCATCCTTTTTCTGAGACTTGCTATCTTTGCTAGACAAACTTTCGAGGTAGATCTTATGTTTTTTGACTGAAGAACATTGAGCGGTATTAACCACACTTGATTTTGATTCATAACTGGCCGAAGATACATTAGATGTTGATCGTGATAGAGAGCATTCTTTAGGAGCTACCATTTCCATTGCCGAACTTTCTGGTGCGCTTACAGATAATCTTGAAGATCCGCTGCTAAACAAGTTACGTTTACTATTCGCTATATCAAGTTTCGGTGATGTGGCACTGGGGGACAAAACGCTTTGGTTTGCATTACGGAGATCATTTTCTGCTTTACATTGAATGAGGCATGTATTTACCGCTTCAACTATACCAGATTCATTTTCGATAGCAGATTCTGTGCCGAGAGTTTCCGAAGAATTTGATTTTATATGAGAATCTGCTAACGATATATCACTACTTGTCAAACCATCGTCTATAAAAAATACATCACTCCCTTCTCGCTGTTTATCTTCTGACTTTTTATTATTCTCTTCGATTTTTTGTTTTGTTCTTTTTACGGTCCCCGGGTGCCAAGGAATATCTTCCTTATCATAAGGGAACATACCACTTGAGCTGCTTCTAAATATATCGGAGCCACTTGAAGTCAAGTTTTTGTCGTCTTTGTCACTAGTGTTATTCGTCGGACAATTTTTGCCGGTCGGTCTCATATCGTACGACCCCCAGGAACTATTGCGAGAAGGGAGAGTTCTTGTGTCCCCTGATCCCCACGAACTATGTCTTGACGGAAGACCTCGAGACTCGCCCTGATATCCAAGAACAACAGCACTATCGTACGAACTCCATGAACTTTGGCGCGAAGGGCATTCTCTATGAGCTACTGCATCTTCTGTTTCTTCAGGAAATTTTACGGGGAAGGTCGGGATAACAGAGACGCGTTGTTGCTTTCGTTCTTCTCTATCGAACACCTTGTCCAGCTGATTAGAAAAAGGGTCACTGCCTTTTCTCAACGGAGTATTTCCCGTTCGAATAGCAATGTCATTCTCGTTATCGCGCATAATAACAGTTTCAGGAACTTTTGAAGTATTTGCGAACATCAACGTTCCACTGCACTCCGAAGTTTGTGTCTGCAATACTGTGGATGACGTCCACATTGTCTGTTCGTCACCATTTGCGCTTACACTAGATTTATCATCACAGCAGTTATCAGTTGTACTTTTAAGTAAAGAGAGGTTGGTATTATCATTATTGTTCTGACTTGTCTCGCCTGGGTCCCATGTCTCGTTTTTGTCGAGATGTGGTGGTAACTGCTGTTGCAACTCTGAGGAACTACTGTTCGCGTCACATACGTCAGGCGAAGGGCATTTAGATGTGTTAGTTTCGTTAGTTTTTGTTACGTTAAGGACTAGCTTTTTACGACACTCAACCGATTTCTGTGATTCGAATTCGTTCACCATTTGCTTAACAGACGCACTAACCACGGCACTCGTCGTGATTTCGCCGATTGATGATGTTGGATCCTGATTCTCGCTCGGTATGTGTCTTATTTGATTCGGTGACACGCTATACGACTCACCGTTATCACAGGGTAATAAAACGTTTTTTATACTTTTCTCGCACTTCAACTTTTGTAAGTTTTCTTCTGAAACACCGTCTTTGTTTAAACTGTCCAGTGACCTATGCGACGTCACAGAATTGTTTGTAACTTCAGTTGTTTGTATCGGATCGGGAGACCACGATTTCGGTCGCGCTCCAGTATTCCTCAGTTCTTCGCCCGAAAGTCGCATCTCCACGTCACTGCACTGCTGCAATGCCTGAATAAGTGGTGTTGGTCTACTTCCGGGCAATGTTTTCTCAATTCTTTCGCCGTTTGTCGAGAGGTTAGTTTCCGACTTCGATCGCTGAAGTTTTTCTTTGTTTTTCATTGCATCTAAAATACCTTGGTATGTTTCTAATTGAGCGACAAAGTTAGTATTGGGTTTGATACAGCTCCTCTTCTCTTTCACATGCTGCATCGCAGTCTTGAAATCCCAGTTGTAGGCTTTCATTGCATACGCTATTACAACGGAAGCCGATCTACTCACACCCATCTTGCAGTGGACCAGCACTTTCGATCCCTCTTCTTTAGCCTTAGTGATGTATTTGTATGTGTTGTCCCAAAACTTAAGCAAATCGGTTTTTTCATCATCGTAGACCCTCACATTCAAATAATCGAAAGTTCCAGGAAAGAAGTTGTCTATCTCTCGGGTAACATTCAAAATGTGCCGTACACTGGAAAAGAGATAACATTAATTAATATTGAGTATCATCAAAATTCAAAATTATTCTATAGATAAAATAATATTTACCCATTCTTTTTTAACTCCTCATAATTTGAAGCGTTCCATTCCGATCCCAAATAAACGTGATCAAAAATTTCAGTGGGGGCATCCATTTGTCCCAAGATAGTCAACATTTCTTGATCGATAAAGGACTTGTATTCGCCTAAATCCATGTCCAGCTCTTCTTCGAGGCGACCGCGGATGTACTTGCTGGTTACTTCGTCCAAATCCACACTCATCATGATTTCTTTCAGAGTAGATCGAATCACCATTTCAGTTTCATCTCTCTCATGGGGTTTAGTTCGAACTGAGTCGGGAGACGGGGGTCTACGCGATTCCAGATCGTCCATAGCATGCCACTCGTTGAGACACGACCTATCGGATTGAATCTTTCCCTCATAGTAATCGACCCACTCGTGGGATAATCCCCCTTGAAAGTAGTTCTCCTCACGTGCCTTCGAACTGGCCTTGTGCAATGTTTGAAGGGCAGACCTGTAACAAAAATGTAATCGTTAGCTTTCCTTGGTACCTATTTAACTAAAATGTTTATTGTCTAGTTTATTAAAAGTACATATGCATTAAGAGGACGACTCTGTACTTATGCCAAACGTGAATATTTAAGATGTGGTGTTAAGGAAAGAGTGGAGGTGCTCTTTCCTATCCTGAGCTAATCTTTCCCTAAAACTAGAATATCCCATATCCCTATTTGCGAACAGTAATCTAATCTAAGTCTACCTTTACTCCTCTTAACTCCTGTTTCTGCCTCTAATATATATCTGTCTAAGACGTTGTCCTACCAACCTATCTCGCTTATTTAATTACATAAAAAATAAAAACTTTTATAAAATTCTTTGTCAGAAATTCATCTAATTTACCAGACGTGGATCGAGATTTTGATTTTGATTTCATCAGAGCGTCAATGAATGAACTTAATAAATGTTCATATTAATATTTATGTTGTACCTATCGTCGATTCAGTTAGACAAGTTGGTACCTTGTAATAAGGTCTTGTCTAAAGCATGAAATATTTTAGTAGCAGCATATACCCACCAGATGAAGATACACTACACTACACTATAAGAAATTATATAATAATAGTAAAATTCACAAAAATGGTTTTTACTAATATCGTAGTATATCGTCTAGATACCTACCTACATTTAAATTGTTGTCAATAATCAATTTTTACAAATATTTAATTATCAAAAGTTGATTGTAAATCATTATTCTCATTTGCAGCTGCATACTGTATGTATTTAGGTATCTGTATATGAAAGTATTTAACTACAATATGTGAAAAATCATTATTCCATTTTATGAAACGATAAAAAAGGAAAATAGCAAATGAATTCCTAGTAGTATTACAAATCAACTAATTGTAAAAGCGGTCTAAAACATTTGCCGCCTATTGTTAATTAATGTTGCCGTGAAATCTGTACATCTTAACAATATTGTAATGGCATAACAATAATAATAATGAAGTTCACTGAATCTGACACTTATGACTTGTGACATACGCATTACATGTACAAGTATGACAGCATTTTACACCAAACAAAATAATAGACAAACAATACAAATAAGTTTAAACATGTTTACTCGTTCACCTTGATAAAGAAAAAAAATCCTATGTTCGTGTTACCAGCGTAGTCTACAACGTGATCCAATAATATGAACAAGACTTCCGCATTATTAATGCACAAATGAATGTTTTCGTTTATTATTAATGCAGATTAAATTAACTCTTTGGAAAGCAAAAATAAAAATGGTCACACACTCTGTATCGCATATATAGGTATATGCATAAAGTCACATCAACTTTACGATCTTTTAAAAGTGAAACGTCGTTGAATTTTACTCATCAGCATTGCCATAAAAATTATTATGGTCTGAAAAGTAAAAACCCACACACCAATATGCTGGCGCCTAGCAGGTATTTTCGACATAAATGAACAATATCCATACCAAAGAAGAAATAGAATAAAAACAATATTAAATTTATTTCAAATGTAAAATTTTTTAGAAAGCAGAGCTGACGTAATACATTTCAAATATGAATATATTATATTTATTTATTATAATTATGCAGGTTTTCTAAAATATCGATTTTCCCATTAGCAAGTTTTAGTTTAATGATTTAATCATTTCAAAAATACTGTCTTTTTGTTTAGAATTTGGATAACTTAACTGTTTTTTTTTTTTTTATAATTACAAAAGACATCTCCATTTTCAATTTTATACGAAAATAAAACCATACAAAAAAACAGTTTATTTGTCGACAAAAAGAAAGCACTCATTATTTGTCCACATTAAATTGAATTAAATGCCTTAAAAATATAGTTTCAAAGCTATGTAATGCTGATAAAATTTATGTTTTAGTCTGCTGCAAACGTCAAGAATTTACCAAAAGGAGTCTACTCCATTGACATAGGTCAACCCAAACTGAGTAAGGATAAGGCTAAGGAATACATGACCAAGGCAAACGAGATTGCTACACTGCCTCGTATAGCATTCTCAGCGGGAACAAAAATATTTCAAATAGACTTCTCTGCTAAATAAATTATAGCATTTATTTCATCCATGTCTATGCATAAAAGTTTTTAAGCAGTACAGTTTTCTCTTCAATATTATATTACAAACTAAAGTACAAAAATTTCTATCACACATTCATATATATAGAATTAATCTTTTATTTGTGGCTTCCAGGGCCAAAAACTCTTTTCTTAGAGTTTGAGTCAGTCACTTATTCCGGTTCCTTTAAACTTTAAATAAAAACTATCAAACTGATATAAAATCTAAATTAATTCATCCAATAGACAAAACACACCGTTTATATCGGTCCGATATGATTCCAAGAACCAAACCGCTTGCAACAGTGTTTTCATCAGTCTGGNTGGCGGTAAGAGATTTGCGGACAATGAAGAAGTAATCGAAGCTGTAAATGGTTATTTTGAGGAGCTTGACGAATCAGTCTATAGAGATGGCATTAATAGACTGGAACACCGCTATGAGAAATGTATCAGCCTTGGAGGAGATTATGTTGAGAAATAAAAAAAAAAAATTTTTAAAAACCTTGTTTTTCTTGGTCAGGCCGGAAACTTATCAATCCACCCTCGTATATTCGCTTTTATTCGCAATAACAATGCTACAAACACGTTATTTCTGTAACGCTCATGTTGCGACTAGAAGCAGCTGCGATTATTTGGCCGCAAGTACTAAAAATCGCAGTGCGCGCTAGGCCTTAAACTCATCGAACACCAGAAAACCTATAGGCCCTTGACATGATGTTGTCTTAGTAACCTTCTTAACCAAAGCAATCATGTTAGAGGTGGTTTTACTCTGATAGCAATGAACGCTCCATTTTTTTTGTCATACAACAATCGTCCGCCGCCCGATACATTACTTAGCTTAGATATCGACTGAAGCGCCAGTCTCATTATATTATTTTACCAACAAACCCATGTTTAATACCTATTTTATTGTTGAAATAAATGTTATCTTATACGTATATTCTTCTCATAAAACTTTAGAGTAAGGGCTGAAACAAACAAAAATTCTGCTTTTCCGTTAGAAAACGTAATAATATTAATTTCAGTGTCATCAATAAGCGCTTCTCAAGAAAGATATTTCACTATTGTAAGTAAATGTAATTGAAATAGAAATTATGAATCGATAAAGTCCACAAAAAGCCTCAATTAACGGAATATACCAGTAAAATTGTTTAAGAATGACTATATAAATATTTACATGCCTAGAAATGTATAAAAATTGGCATATTCATTAACTTTGAACCCCCATAACTTTTTATGGGGCTGAGACCGCCACGAACTTTTTATGGTACAGTGATGGGGGAGACCTCCTCTTTCGATCCCCCTCACCCCCACCATCTTTGGGGCCATCATCTAGACCTTTACCAAAAAAAGTAGCCTAGATCTGCAGATTTTCTTGACAATCTCAATCTCTCTTTCATGTTTCATTAAACGCTAAATTAAGTGTCCCAATAAGAAATTAAATGCTCGGAATATTTTTTCAAAAATTATAGCTATACTAGAACAAGATTTTGTAAGTAAAATAAGACTTCGCAACTTGGACAAATCACCGGTATACAAGAAGGACAAAAATAGATTTAAGCAAGGAAAACCATTGTTTCAGTATATTTAAAGGCTAGTAAAGTAAGTGCTCTAATGAGAAATTAAATCCTGCGAGAATTTCTTTTGTACTGTTAGATTGATATTATGTTAACAGAGAATTATCATTTAATGAGCATTTAAGTACTGTGGGGTCAGAAATTTCACTGTTTAAACAATTTTTTGCTCATACCTCTGCTACAATAAGCTAACAAACCATTTTTAAAAATATGCTAAGAGGATTTAACTTATCATCCTTACTTAGACCTGTTTTTAGTCCCTTTGATATATTTCGAAGTATTTAAACATTTTTTTATTACTGTATTTATTGTTTAAATATTTTTTTTTGCTCATACTCAAGTAACAAACACCTTATGCTATAAGAGCGGTCATTTTTAAAAAATTCCCACAGCATTTAATATCTCATTAGGACATTTAATTAGCATTTAACGAGAATTTCATATTCCAACTGTCACTTTTTGATTCTACTAACTTCACTCTTCCCACTTAATTAAGTGTAATTTTATCGATAAATATAATAATAAAAAAAATTTCGTTCGCCTGGTCGAATATTTGGAGCACCTACGAGGTAATAATTGGTCAAGCAGAATATATATTCGTCCTGCAGCAAAAGCATTAAAATTCGATAGAATTAATTGAAAGTGATCACATCCTATCTGTGACCTTCGTCATTATTGTCCTCTTTTGTAATGAATACACCCCCGCCGCCACTACACATCCTATGAAATCAGTACTGGATTAACAAGGCAATTAAAAATATTGATCTCCCACCTCTACTTGCGTATTATCTTCTAATAAACTTCTAAATTAAATGGTTACCTAATCGGAAATTAAAGAAGTCTTCATAAAGATTTTCTAGCCATACTGTTTTTATAATTATATAATTTTATTATATTTTGTTCTAATATTATCATCATACTAACTAATTTTAGTATGCTTGGTTTTACATACGATATACCAGTATCTAGCAAGAACGAGTTAGAGATAGCCTTAAATATAATGGAAACGATATTGATAAAACAATATGAAGTAAAAGAAAAATTTGGGTATTCAAGGGAAGAGGAAGTAGGGAAAGAATGAACATAGAAATGGAAGAATAAAAATTAGATGAAATCGCTGATTTTCGGCATATCTACAGGAAGTCAGATAAATCAGGATGAAAGTAGCAGTCGAGATATAAAATAAAGGATAGCGCAGGTTCGAGTCGCTTTTAAGAAAAAGAACCCACTTTTATGCTTGCGAAGAGATAATTTATAATTTAAAAAAAAATTGCTAAAATTGTACGTTTGGGTCACGGGTCTGTACGGGTGCGAAACGTAGACGGTGGGTGCGGCAGTAAAAAAG